ACTCTGCTACCCCCGGCTCCTCCCGCTGCACCTTTCGCACAGTGCTCCCGTTTCACACCGACCCGACCCGATGGAAGTAGGCGTGTGTACCTCAGTGCGGCGCTTGGCCTGCGCACCCGGCCCGATGGAAGTAGGCGTGTGTACCTCCGTCGGCGACAGCGGTCCCGTGCGGCGGCCAGATCGCGAAGCAAAAAAGTGGCGATGTATCTGCTCCCTTTGTCGGGCCCGGGGTCGGCCTTTTTCGCCACGACCGCTTCCTGACACCGGCGCGCCATCGGTTCCCCCGTGCCCACTGCCCGACAGCGGTCCCGCGCGGCGGCCACCGGTTTCTGTTGGGCCCCACGCGAGGACCGCTCTTTCCTTTAGTGGTATAGGGATATAGAACCGACAGTTTGCAGAGTTTTCCATCTGTTGTGGGTGAGTGATAGTCTGCTTTGACTTTTGCCATAGGTACCTTGAGGGCAGTGGTTGGTGCCCACCTCAGGGTATCAGTTGTCGGGCAGTCGTTGATGCTTAACCACAGCCGGGGTTAAGGTGGATTATCACTTACGGTGTAATCATTTAGGGGATTCTGCAGACTGTTGAGGGTTCAGCCTCCTGATGATTCAGTGAAACTCCGACGAAACAGTTTGCCACAGCCCCTCGTCCTCTTCTCCCTCTCTGCCTACGATTTACCAGGCAGCTCTGTTTGACTATATATACATATCTCTATACTCCTAAAGCAAGCAAAGGGCCCAGCATGACGCGTCCCGCTGGGCCCAGCCAAAATCAGTGTGGAGGGTCGCGGGACTTGGGCGAGGAAAGCGGGTGCGGCGTTTCGTGGAGGTTTGCGGATAGCGGTGTGCGATGTCCTTGCTGCCACCGGCACTCCACAGCATTTGCTTTTTTTCCTTTTTTTGTTTGGTACGAATCTTCCCCTCAAACATGGGAAATGCACCGCAATATTTTTGTGGCACAGTTCTGGATTTTCCTTTTTTGTTAATGGCCACCACACTGCACGTCCTTTGGCTTTTTTCAGGTTTTGTCGTTTCTGCCAGCTGCATCTTCCCATGTTTTAGCGGTAGAGTCATTATCAATGGGCCTCGCTGCACTACTCTCCACATGCACAAAAGACAAAAAAAATGGCAATGTATCTGTCCATGCTCTAGTGGTGGATTCAGTCCTTCTGCACATTTGGAGAGTCGTGCAGTGAGGCCCAATGTGCACATTTCGTGAGTCGTGGAGCCAGGCCCTAAAGAACCCACGGCGTGACAGTGGTGGCAGAAAACGACAAAAGTGAAACGGCGTGCACAAGGGCCTATAGCTCCACGGCTCTCCACATGCACAAAAGACAAAAAAATATGGTGGTGTATCTGGGGATTCGGGGCATATCCTGGAGGAGGATTCACTCTCAGGGCCTCGCTGTGCTACTCTCCAAAAGTGCAAAATGAGAATGAATCTTCCGCCAGGACATGAACAGATACACCACCATTTTTTTTTTGTCTTTTCTGCATGTGGAGAGTAGTGCAGCAAGGCCTAGCTCAGTTGGTAAGGCTTGCAAGTGGCATTGAGGAGGTCGCGGGTTCAATCCCCTTCGGCCTCATGCACCTTCCTGGGCGGGCAGACGTCTTGTTTCTTTAAATTCACATTCGGAATTAATCCCTTCCTTCGGAATTAATTATTATTTTTGAAAATTTTCCAAATTTTCAACGAAAAATTTTAAAATTCCCCCTCCTAATTATTTCTCTTATAGGAAAAAGCAGTCCGCGCGTGACGCTCCTGCTGGGCCCAGCGAAATTCGGGCAGGGAGGTCCACGCGCGGTGCTGCAGAAGACCTAGGAGGGTGCGACGGTTGGGGAGGCCGGTAGCCGGGACGGGCGCGGTCGTGACGGGGGGGGGCGGTGGGCGGTCGGTGTCAGCGCGACTTTATGAACAGGCTCTTTTTTCGCTACCGTTTTTTCTCACACCGCGCCGGGGGGGGGTTGGGAAGTAGCATGACGCCATGTTCTAGCCGACGATTCAACCAGGTAGTGCATGTTTCCATGTTCTAGCCGAAGATTCATTGGATGTTGCTCATCCTATCGATGGAAGTAGCATGGTGCGAGCTGTGAGGTCGGGGAGTTATCGTCTCTCTCTCTCTCTCTCTCTCTCTCTCTCTCTCACACACACACACACACACACACACACACACACACACACACACACACGATTCATTCCGATTTCGCTAAAAGAGTGGCAGTGTATATTTCCACGTTTCAGCGGAAGATTCATTCCATTTTTGCTCATCCTATCGATGGAATGTGTGTGTGTGTGTGTGTGTGTGTGTGTGAGACAGAGAGAGAGAGAGAGAGAGAGAGAGAGAGAGCCGATAAGTCTCCAACCTCGGCCAACAGCTAAGTCTCCAACCTCGGCCAACAGCTAAGTCTCCAACCCCGCCCCTCGCCGCACGCTACTTGGATCGATCGAATGAGCAAATCAAAAAGTGGCAGTGTATATTTCCATGTTTCAGCGGAGGATTCATTTCATTTTTGCTCATCCTATCGATGGAATGTGTGTGTGTGTGTGTGTGTGTG